GGGGGGGGGGTTTGTTTCAATGACTGGCTAATCGTGATGTTAAAATGTGCATGCGATTATAATTTATAGTGCCATTCCACGTGACTGAAGCTTTGTATACCTTAGTATTCTTATATCTACATTTACACATTATTTTGTTCTGAAATCTGGATGTGATATAATACCCCGTCAGAGTATATTACCAGTGTCATTCCACATTTGCCCAAGTCAGTTGCTGGAGGTTTCTGAATACAGCTGTTCTATGAACGAAGACAACAACAAGGGACATGATGCAATATAATTTTGGTTTTGTTTCGTTATTTCTTTCCCACTTTTGATTGATAAATAGTGTCCATGTTGGGGTTTTGATGCCCTCTTTTTTTTCATTTTCTTTTTAAAAAACGACTTTGGCTCTTGTGGATTATGCTGACGATATGTATATTATTTTTTTCATGCATGATATATATCAATTTTCACGTCTTCCTCATGATGTTAAAACCATTATATTCTCATTCAAGTGATTCATTTCTGATGTGATTACATCAAGCTGGAGTCTGAAAGTGATACTGACTGTTGGCAGTGATGCCATGTTTGTTTGTTCTGTTTGTTTGTTTGTTCTGTTTGTTTGTTTGTTTTTGTTTTCCTTTATTTTCCTTCTTTTCACTAGAAGAACAGTCATTATTCTCAGCAGCATTTGCTTTTCAACTCTATATTAGTTGTGTTTATAAACTATCATTTTGTTTCCAAAAGCAACTTTGTGTAAAATTTCAAGTATTTTCACAAAATTCAAGGGGCATCCCTGTGTTTGTTTGGGTTTTTTCTTTTATGGAGCATGAGTTGTTAGATGTGAATTCTTTTGTACTTCACGTTTTTGGAGTTGAAGGGATTGTTAACTGGCTCACACGTCGAAGCAATAAATTCTGCTGAAGAAGTTCAGGAGGGAGTGTTTGTTTCAGTTTGTGTACAGAAAGGGGAAGGAATAGTTTCTACAGTCATGAAAACCGTATATTCATGCGAGATATACATCTGTGATTTGAAAGAACGATGCTTTAAGTCTGATACATACATGCCTATTCAGAAGCTTTGACTTAAGAATAATTTTGTGCTTGTAAATCGGACATGGAACTTTCTATGACAGAAGGGAACTGCTGTATGGCTCCTCGCAACATGACGAAATGGGTCATATGTCTCATTTTGGCAATACAACCCTACGAATCAATATTAAATTGAAAATCTGGTCAAATCCTACAAGTGGGTGAGACCAGTATTAGCAGCTTTGGTTCCAAAGTTAAAATCATTTGAAATTGGGGAGATACAAACGCACAGTGTGGAGAAACGAAGGTTTTTACTTTGACCCGATTTCTCATACTAGCTGCGTTCGACAAGCAATTCATTTTGTCATTTTTTATACACCTTTGTTGTTTTTTAGTGTTCATGATGGGGTTTTTTTTGTGTGTTATTTCATTCTGTAAGACCGGATGTTTTTCTGTGAGTGTGGGGACAACAGTGATGACTGAACGTTCTGGTGCCACCAACTGGGCTGTGTTTGATGAATCATTTTTGCCGCTTTCAGAATTTTTTGTTTACTGTTACTTTTGATATTCTGGATGTGATTATTCGTTGCCTTTATAATCTTTTACTCAAAATGAAAAAAAATTCATTTTATTATTCAATAAAGAAATTTAACTCACGGCAAACTGTCTTTACGTTGTTTTTTTGGGAGCGAGTAGTATGGTACATATATATATATTTGACATTAAAAGATTGTCTGCAAGAGGACATGATCGGAGCTCCTGTCAACTCTCTGACACCTATGGCTGCATCCTGTCCTGCTGAGGCATTATTAGTCCATAAATAAAATGAACTTTTAAAAAAATATTTCGAACGAGATACCGATACATCGTCCCAGCAGACAGATGGAAATACTTGAGAAAAAAACAAACCTTCCCCTTTTTTTTGGTCCATAAAATGAACTTTTTGAAAAATAGGCTGAACGAGATACATCATCCCAGCAAACAGATGGAAATATTCGGAAAAAAACAAAACCCTCCCCATTCCAGAGTCAAACCCTGAGTGTCTTCAGCCACTAGGAAAAGCTTTACCACTATACCAAACAACAAAGGAGAATATAGATTTCCGGCTATGTAAATGCAACAAAGGGACAGTTGTCAGTAAAAGTCAAATTGAGGCCCCCCCCCCCTCCCGTTTAGAACTTCCTTGACCTACAACCCACATCACGGGTCTCCACTCCCTGTGAAGTGACATGTGGGTCAGCGTGACATCATACACCAAAGATGCTTTTCACTTGATTTATGAATGTGTTGGTCAAAATTCACAACCACCCAACTGACGTACCTTGATGTTGCAGGTGTCCTCAATCTCCGTCATTGTCAGAGCCAACGGTTGAGACTTGGTTGCCTCTTCAACCGGAGGAAGACTTCTGAGAAATAGAATTAAAAACACACAAAAAATGAAAAATTACCATAATATTCTCATTACAATCATCACACATTCCAACTAGCTGGGAACCCGTTTGATGAGCGAAACAAATAGTATATGTGAAGAAGCGTGGTGGAATCAGGCTCTCGTCAATTTTTGGGCTTGTAGAGTTAGTGGTATCAGCTTAAAGCTTGTTCATTTGTCTTTATTTGAATGAAAAAGTTATCCATTTATCTTTGCGAAAGAAGGAGGTAGGGGTCACCTATTTTCAGAAGTAAAATTAGTAAGGAAACGGCCTCCAAAGATTAGTTATTTCCTTAGCTTAAGAGTCCGTGGTAACTGAAAATTTACACTTTTTGTACCTTTAATCGTTTTTCAGAAAAATCTACACAGAAATGAGTTCTTTAATGGGCATGAAAGGTGTTGAGCCCAAAAAAAAAAATTGATAAAAATTCACAACCCAGCGGATAAATGCAGGTTTCTTTACTTTGATTATTTTGACGAGAGCCTGATTCCACCACGCTGCCTCACATATAATATAGATTAATCCTCTATTCCGTTTCCATGTTTGTTCACTCCAGAATTTCGAAGGTGTGGAAACAGTGCCCACTGCTTGTGAACGGAAGCCTCACTTGTTTACAATGGTGTCTTAGAAGATGGACTTTCCCAAGATTAAGTCTAAACGAAACTAATGAAAAACTGAAAATTAAACTCCACTGACTTCAGACTCCTAAATATAACTGTGCTCCCTTTAAATGATTATGAACCTCTATTAATTTTTTCAAATTCGAAAGTTAAGTGGTTCAGAAGCTTTGGGCAACCAAAGTGACGAACTTTCACAAATATAATATATATAAATAACATTATGATCATATCATGACTTCAATACTGCCACTCAACAAAGTTTTGTTACAAACACTCACCAATAACATTACAATCACCAGAGATGTCAACTGGCTATGAAAAAAAGATATTCAATTTTCTGATCATATTATTTTTAAAAATGCAATTTACTGATCATAATATTATTTTTTTTATCCTCAATTTACTGATCATATGAAAAAAAATCCTCAATTTACTGATCACATTATGACAAAACAAATCCTCAATTTTCTGATCATACTATGACAAACAAATCCTCAATTTTCTGATCATATTATGAAAAAAAAACCATCCTCAATTTTACGATCATATTATGAAAAAAAAATCCTCAATTTTATGATTATATTATGAAAAAACATATCCTCAATTTTATGATCATACTAATGTACGATACATCTTGCATCAAGGAGTCAGGCAAAATCTGGATATGGGAGGTCGGTGGGTGCTCTGGTGTGGTTTGCTTCTTCTTTCCTATGAAACGTCTATAGTCTTTATCTCCCCATCTTCTTTTTTTGTGTTTGTTACTCTCTTGTAACACCTCTATTCTTCGGCACTTATATGACCTTAATGTGTTGCAAGTGCCGTAAAACTCTTACTAAAACTTTTTAAATCTGGATGATTTTAAAAATCCCAATTGTCTGATTTGTCTGAAAAATTTGCACCTCTGGATCACACATTTTAAAGGGTTTTTATTAAGTTTTAGTAGAGGTTTTACGGCGCTCGCAACTGCATAAGGTCATATTAGCGCCAGAAGATTAGAGGTGTTACAAGATAGTAACAAAAATAAAAAAGAAGGAGGGGAGATAAAGACGATAGATGTTTGATAGGAAAGAAGGAACACACCACACCAGACACTCGCCAACCACCCACTCTAAAGTTTGGAAAGACATGATTTTATTCTCAAATCAAAAAGGGGGGCACCATGCAGTTGTGGTTGCCACATTATGAAATCCCATCCAGTGGAATGAGATATTCTGAGCAGCTCAACCTCCTGACTGTAACAACCTTACACTACCTTTCTCACAGCCAAAACCAGGGCTCATGGTTTCTTAACCCTATCCATACGTTGTGTTTTAATATCGTATCCATACGGTGTGGGGAACTCTGTGCCACCACTTAACCCTATCCGTACGTCCTGTTTTACAATCGTGTCCATACAACGTGGGGAACTCTGTGCCACCACTTCCAAAGAGGAAACTTACTCGTTAATCCGATCCGAAAGCTTTGCATAGCACTCTGTCAAAATGATTTTTTGGGAAATGCTGAAAGTTTTAAAGAGATCTTCGAACCATAAGTATTCTAAAATGTGAAGAATACAACACTGGAGGTACAAAATGACCCCAGGGCTCATGGTTTCTCAATCAGCTCCAGCACACAGAGGAAAAGGTAATTCTTCATCAAATACTCGATCAAAAAAAGACATTGGCAGTTATAGTGAGCCATCCGTTTCTCAGGTTGGATGGTCTAAAAAAAAAAAAAAAGCCAGATCTAAGAAGATATTGGCAATCAGGGTTTGCTATTTCTTTCTCTGAATGAATGGTTTAAAAAAAAAACAACTATCTATATCTGTCCCTGTGGTTTTAAGCAAGAAAAATTCTGAAATTATGCAAACTGAGCTCCAAAAATGTGAAATTATGTGATTATGTTAATTTTAACAAAGAATGATAAAGAAAAATAATAAGAAATTATGCAAAAAAATGATCAAATTTTGCTAAATTATGGGGGGTGCATAAAACCATGGGGACAGCTATATCACCCCAGTCTTCTCCCCTCACCTACCTATTCAATTTCTATAGGTAAATAATTTTTTTGTCTCCTTCTGCCTTTTCTGCCATCTATTTTTCCAGTGAAAGTAAGATGTTCATCTGTTTTATTTTACTTCTTCAAGTATCCTAGGAACGAAACACAGTCAAGCCTGATCCAACAGTCACCTGTCCAAGATAATCATCTGTACAAATGACCACTTCTAATCCCCCATCCAGAAATCCTTCATGTTTTTTCTTTATCCTAACGACAGTGCCCAAAACTTCAACCTGTCTATAGGACAACTACTTTTCTCCTCTACAGTGGATGGCCGTCTCAGACAATTTCAACGGTAGGTTTTTGTTTTGTTTTTTATAGAAGAGGGTTTTACGGCACTCGCAACTGCATAAGGTCATATGAGTGCCAAGGGGTGGATGTCAACAGAGAAGTCTTTACAGGGAATCAGACTTACTCTGCTCACCTCTCTAGCTTCAACAGCACAAGGTCTGCTTCGACTGTCAAGGCACCTTGGAAATAGCAGGTCACAAGAGAGTGACAAACATACAAAAGAAGTAGAGGAAAATGACAATAGTAAGGA